TATATATATATATCAAAAGTAGTTGTAGAAAAAGCAAATACGGGAGACAATCATTAATTTATTTCACCAATATTTCGAGAGCTTCCACTTTCTTCCTTAAAATCGATTTTATAACAAGAGTATCAACATTAATTAATCTATACTGTACGACATGCATTTTTTTCTAATGTTCCTACATTTTAGATTTAGAAGCCTGTAATAAAACATAACTATTTTGTGTATTACTTTCTATTTTTATTTAATTATTAGGGGGTTAGCGCGAACGCAGTCCCCCGCTACCATAAATTTTACACCCGAGTTCCCCACATTTGGGGGAATCGCAAGGGTCAACCACAGCCAAGTGCAATGCTGTGGCCTCGCCTTGGGAGGACTTCCTTCTTGATCAAAGTCTCTCCTGTGCCAGGTAAGTATGCTTTGCTACGAAGGGTAAGAGTATATATACAAACACATTGAATGTAATATATAAATGTCATTAATAGGTCTATTTAATTGTCATTAAAACTATATGATTTCTTTTAAAAAAATTCCCAACATATAATTTAGCTATTTCAAAAACACTGTAAATATTAATGAAATGCAGAATTGAATTAAAATATTTAATGATTTTTAAAGTATTTCAAATAGGCTATATTATGGTTATGAATATTCATTTCTTTTATAGTGGGAGCGTGAACAATAAGGGTACTTTCCAAAGGAATAATCACTTCCGGAGAAAACAAAAGCCCCCCTAGGATAAAGCCATGATAGACATTTGAGAGAGACTACAAATTAATGTCGTTTTTTCAACACCAATGATGTAAAATGGAAATTAAATATAATATAGTATCCCTGATCCGAATGCGATCACTGAAAGGTAATAACATTTAATTTCCTTTTCGAAATTTACAAGCCGAAAATCAAGAATTATCATTTGAAATACTAAAAACTGATAAAACCCATACATAACTCTTGTGTTAAATCGGTTTTAACAATTACTCATACTGTATCAGGAATATTTGTTTAGTTTATTTATTTGAACCTTATGCCTACACTAGATGCGTTCAACAAAATACATGATACCTTAACCAAACATTTAAAGCAAAAGTAAGCTTAATTTCAACGTGGACACCACAATAAGATTAACAATTTTCAATCAATTTTATACGGTGTTATTTATTAACATACGCTTGGCCTATTATGACCAACGACATGTTCGCATTCACCAAACTTGTAAACGGAATGACCTGCACCAAAAATGGACTCTTGCAGCTCTTCTTTAATCTTTCTGTTTTTAGTTCATTATTGGGGGTTAGCGCGAACGCAGTCCCCCGCTACCATAAATTATACACCCGAGTTCCCCACATTTGGGGGAATCGCAAGGGTCAACCACAGCTAAGTGCAATGCCGTGGCCTCGCCTTGGGAGGACTTCCTTCTTGATCAAAGTCTCTCCTGTGCCAGGTAAGTATGCTTAATAATTAAAGAGTAGGAATATATATAAGAATATTTTGAATGCTCTACGAAGATGTCATTATCGCTAATTTCTAGAAAAGTATATAGTTTTGCAGCAAACAAAAGATAATAATTTTCAAAATATAATTTTACTCCAAAAAATACACTTGAAATCCAAAAATAGTATATTGTCTATAGAATTGTATAAGGTTTATTACATAATTTGCTCATATGAATATTCAATACCTATTTACTAACAATGAGGGCAGCAGAGAAATATAGTTTTTCTCTGCTGTCTGTCGTGTTTTTCGCACGCGGTATGAGAAAAGTAGATTGGCTAGGTCGTCCATGATTGATTCAGATAAGAAGATGGAGGAAAACGAGGGTATCCTATGCCCTTAGTTTAATGGTGAGTTTTAAATAAATTAGTAACCGTACCATGTATCATTTCAAAGCCGGATGCGAAACCGTATTAATATCTTATTTTTGTTCGTTATGCACCACCAGTACCACTCACTTGGATTGTTTGTCATCACTCCAAGATGTCCAGACTACCGATTCGTGGATGATACATGGATGGATGACACAACTGACACAGTACGCTAACATACATACCAAACCAAGATTAGGCTACTTATACATAGCATATTCTTTTAGGTTTTGTCCCAATTCATGGGATTTCGCTCCCAACTCAGCTGGTTGAGGTCTCGTATTCTTATGATTTACACAAAACTTGCCTTGTTGAATTTATATAATGTAGGCCTAGGCCTAGGCCTAAATTCCTTATTTCAGACGTGCCTGGGTACTGGTAGCTCTGCTGCTTGCATATGCTACAAAAATCCGACACAATAATACATGCAGCTGAAACATTTGAAAGTACAACAATGTGATCCAACTGGCATATGCTGCAATGCGCCACACACGTACCTGTAGCTGGAAGGTTCAAAAGTTATGGCGTGGGATCCTGGCATAGGCCTCTGCTAGTGAGCAATGTGCCACAGGCGTACCTGTAGCTGGAACATTTGAAAGTTGCGACAGTGTCATCATGGCATATACCTGTACTACAATGCACAAAAATTTTACAGTAGGTAAAACCTTAGTAGCGATGAATTGAATTTAATAAATATTAATTTGAAAAAAATGACCGCAAAGAAGACATTTAAAATATTAAATTTTTTTGCAGGTTTTAAGCTTTTTGTGCAAGAAACTGACTTGCAGGCCAGCTTTGGAAATTTCTCCCCACTGAATAAAAATATTCCCCAGATGCGAAATGATAGTAGACCACAGTAAGTGAATCCTGTATATCTGCACTTTTATATTTTATTTTAGAGAAATTTTTGTTATAACTTGTTTAGCGAACTCACCACCTGTCAATAATGATAATTTCGAATTAAAAAAGAATTTTTTTTTTTTTGGACCAATTAGCACACCCGCCACCACGAAAAAATGAAAATTCCAGAAAAAATAAAAGTTTTTCTTTATTGCCTTGAAATCTCCGAAAATAAGATATGTATATTTCTTCCTACTTAATTATAAATTTAAAGCATTATACCATCTTATTACTATACTGTTTACATTCACCAATAACATTTTATTTTTATTTACTCCTCCGTCTAGATGTTTTGTTAAAACTTTGCTAAAATAGAAATTTTTTTTTTTTTTTTAAATATATAAAATGTCTTGCCTTATCTACATTGATCCACAGTAGAGAAATCTCAAAGGTATATTGTATCTTGTATTTTTTATTTCCCTGGTCTGGAAATTATACTTCTATTCCATTAATTATGTATCTCGAATAAAAAATTCACAAAATAAAAAATCCATATCGGCCAAAAATTAAATTGTGGATTAAATTTACAATTACAAATTTTCAAACACATTAATTTAAAATTATTTAAAAGTCATTATACAAAATATTACTTTAAGCTGGAAAAAAGTAGAAAAAGATAAATTTAATTAAGATAAATTACAATACAGTAGTACCTATTTACAATAATGCATTACAATACCACCTATATTTACTAGATCTATGATAATACAACAATTCCTTATTTATTATATTTTCTGCCATTTTTTCAACTTAATTAAACACATTTTATTCAACAGATAGTACAAACATTACAACCAAAGCTCTTACATCTTGGCCAGCAACGAAGACAAGTGTATAAATTGTATTGACGACCTTTGTGAGATGCAATTATTTCAACTAGACTGGCAGATCAACACAGTTTAGAGAAGAATCTGGTGTTGGAGCCTGATCATCCAAGATGGTTTAAAGCGACCATCACCAAAGTTGTACCACCAGCAATGGAAGGGCTCAATGAAGGTTTTTCTAGATTAACTTGAATTTGCAGGTTAATTTAGGAATGCATATTGATTGACACATAAAGCTGCAGATGCTTAAAATGTAACACAAGATATTGAAGAGTTAAATTGTACTTATGTGATAGGGACCTTGTTCCAAGCATAGTAGAGTTGACTGTTACTTGATTGGTTAACAGTCTACTTTATATTCATGAGGTAATCCTTCGTAAATTAATGTTAACTTTCTACAGCATCATGAGAATTAATCTGTGCAAGCTATCAAGCCATTAAGTGTGTTCACAGTGTTTCTTATATTCAGGGGTTACTTTATATTGGTATAGATTAAGAATGAATTTCTTTGTATTTTATTTTTCATTTAGTATACTTCTTTCTTTATTTTATATAAAAAAAATTTAATATACTAGGAGCGGATTTGGGGGCGGGGTGCCGGGCCGGTCGTGGCCTCTTTTAGAAAGTAAGAAAAAAAATGAGAAAAAGTTTGATCGCCCAAATCGCCTCAGGGGTATTTTCAGGCGTCTAGAAAACAAAAATTAGTGTTATCTTGATTGGCCCCCTTTTTATCATTTTAAAAAAAGAAGGGCAAATGAACAATTTTTTTTTTGGCCTTGTATTGCTAGAAACATACCTGCATTTCAACTTTGATAATAATTCCGCAGCTTCTAGTGTTGATGCTGTTTGTCCAATTCAGACCCTTCAACATCATACAGTACACGTCATTAACAACAGGGCATTCTATTATTTTGTTTGATCTACTGGCAAGTTCCACTGCTGATAATGGCCGTCCCTTAGACATAACAAAAAATAGCGAGCTTTTCACCAACCCATGATTTAGACACTCATGATATTTTACATGGGTCCGGAGTGCTTCTCTAACAGCTGTGTCATCAGCTTGCCTTTTGGTCCTATCTTGATTGTGTGTTTTGACGATTGTATTAGAGCAGTTTAGCAGTTGGTGGTTTGACAGGTAAGACAGGACCTTCAAGCACCTGTTATAATAGTCTCTGCATATTCTGATACACGCCTAGCCATCTCCAGATGGGTTCGAGTCCCACCCGAGAACAACTTGCGATTTTTTTCGCTATTGTTTTCAAACGTACTGAGTATTCAGTACATTTCATGTCAGGTAGGGCAAAATTACACCTATACATGTTTCTCCTCACGCAAATCCAGTTATTGTCTGTGCCATCACGACAATAACAATTACTACTGTATATTTCTGCTGTTATAAACTATTACAAGCTGTAGGTAATGACCAGCTACTAACGATGCTTTTAAATGCTATTTAATGCTTAGACCAATCCTGCGCTTTAGTGGAGGCAGAATGCAAAACTACTGCTTCATGCCGCTTTAATTGTTGACATCCAGGCTTCCTTCAGATCACTGTTGAACATATCTACTGTCTTATTCTTTTATTTGCAATGCCTATATAATGTTATTGATTCCGTTTCTGTATTATGTTTAATTTATTTTCACAAGCAACTTTGTTATTACTAGGTTAACATGCCCAATGATTATGTCTGATCAAATGAATATATTGATATAAAAAATAATACACTTTAAAAACTTGGGTCAATTTTGACCCATAATTTGGGTCATTTAGTGTCATACTGATCCAAAAATTTGAGCCACCATGACCCAAGAATTGGGGTCAATTATTAAATCCATGCTGACCCAAGATTTTGGGTCATGTTTGCCCAAAAGTTTTGTGTTGATTTGACTATATGCTGGGTCATCGCAACCCATTTTCTAGGTCATATAAAATACTGACCCAAATTTCGAGTCCGTCCAGAACGAACCCAGACTGGGTCAGATTGACTCAATAGCTTGGCTCAACTACATCTGTTTCAATTTGATTGGGCCCTGGCAACCCAAAATGTAATCATAACTGTATTTATAATCCACATTTTTTTAGTTCAAGTTCTGGGACTTCTTCACGTAACACATTAACACACTAATTGCCTAATTTTCAATTCTACAATATTGTAATGATATGTTGTAGACAATAATATACAGTAGGCTAACTTTCTTGTATGTTCCTTTATTGGTATCTTGTTATCAACTCCCTTAAGGCTCATGTGTCCTTTTACTCTATGTATCATACAATAGAGGGCTCACTCATAATCTTAAGTACCTTCATTACATCTCCCTTTTTTATTTTATTTTATTTTTTTTTAATTTTTTTTTTTATAGAATCTAATTATCTAATATTTCTTTTTAGCACTTTAGTTTCCTTTTCCTTAATAAACAATCCTCAACAGGTAATACATTCTCTTTCATTTGATACAACAATTCTACAACAAACTAATAATAACTACATTCTGTTAACGAATGTTCATTAACTTTTGTGCTCAGAAGTAGACTATCCTGGCAGCGTATTTTTTTTCTGCAGTACACATAAGCAAATATATGTTTCTTTTAGCCAATCAGAATGTAGGAAGCCTAAAATGACGTCAGATAACTATTGAATAATTAATCAGCAGTGAGAACTATTGAATAATTAATCAGCAGGAGACTCGCTTCCTTTGCTGCTAACAATGGCTAAACATTCCTCTCGCGTGTTTACAAGGGAGCTCTGAGTCATAAAATGACAAGGGTGGGTTATTGAAATTATTAACAGCATGGTTTTCTACTACATATTGTGGGTTATTTATTAAAAGCAATCAGTTAGGCCTAACGAGGGAATAGGCTGCGTTATTAAATTTAAACAATAGCTCTGGCTTACTAACCACAGTGTGGGATATTAAAAGCAATCATTTATGCCTAACTTGGCAACTATAGGCTCAGCACTGGTT